CCTAACCCTAACCCCTAACCCTAACCCTAACCCTAACCCTACCCTAACCCTAACCCTAACCCTAACCCTAACCCTAACCCTAACCCTAACCCTAACCCTAACCCTAACCCTAACCCTAACCCCTAACCCTAACCCTAACCCTAACCCTAACCCTAACCCTAACCCTAACCCTAACCCTAACCCTAACCCTAACCCTAACCCTAACCCTAACCCTAACCCTAACCCTAACCCTAACCCTAACCCTAACCCTAACCCTAACCCTAACCCTAACCCTAACCCTAACCCTAACCCTAAACCCTAACCCTAACCCTAACCCTAACCCTAACCCTAACCCTAACCCTAACCCTAACCCTAACCTAACCCTAACCCTAACCCTAACCCTAACCCTAACCCTAAACCCTAACCCTAACCCTAACCCTAACCCTAACCCTAACCCTAACCCTAAACCCTAACCCTAACCCTAACCCTAACCCTAACCCTAACCCTAACCCTAACCCTAACCCTAACCCTAACCCTAACCCTAACCCTAACCCTAACCCTAACCCTAACCCTAACCCTAACCCTAACCCTAACCCTAAACCCTAACCCTAACCCCTAACCCTAACCCTAACCCTAACCCTAACCCTAACCCTAACCCTAACCCTAAACCCTAACCCTAACCCTAACCCTAACCCTAACCCTAACCCTAACCCTAACTCAAGATCGGTTTGCATAAATTCCTTCTCTGTTCTTGTTCACTTAACTGTAATATTTCGGATAACATGAAATTCAAGCAGAATGTAGATAATGAGGACTGGAAGAGGGATTTCAGAATATGTTCCTTACAAATTAATTGTTTGAATCGCCGACTAAGCTCTTTGTGAATAAGATAACATAAACGCTTAATTTTATAAGCAATATACAACGTATTTGAACTCACTATTTACTGTCATGTTAACACTTTCCCCAACTATACATCACTCAATTTATTAGTAATTTTATTTTGTGTGGGCTGTTTAAGCTCTAAAAGAAATTTTCGAAATCAAAAGCATAAACATAAAACATTTGATTTGGTGAAATCTTCATCTCTGAGTTTATCAGGGTTCCCCACTTGAGTTCGCTACATTTGGTATTACTGCCAAAGGGGAGGTGGAAAGGATGCAGTTCTGCGGACGCCGTTGGGAGGCCGAGAGATGAGTGATTAGTTTGTGTGGTTCGGCCTAGGAAGTAGACGTAAAGTGGAGTGTTCTGGCAATGTGGTGCTGGGTGTACTAGACGCTGTGGATGGCGATAAGAAGTGGGACGTCCGGTTTAAGAAGAAAGCCTCACGGCATGCAAAACATCTACAGGAGCGACCGTTTGGAGGGCGAGGGGAAGAATTTGGTGGATGCTTAGTATGCTGACAGTTTTAAGAAGCATTTAGGAACAATCGGAAATATAATACCGAGAGCAGAAGATTGAAATGAAGAGAACAGAAAGGAAATCGGAGAGGAAATGAAATAGCAACAGAATTAGAGGAATGATGGATTATGTAAAGGACAACGCGAAGATGTGTAAGTGTTATATATGTGTGATTTCTATATTTTGCAAAGCCACTGTTTGATTGTGCACTAAACGACAAATTGGATTTCCTCACCTGAGTTCTCGTCTACGACAATACGAGTATGGGAAATACCATTTATTTCCTGAATTTATTCTGATGGTACTGTCCAAAATGAAAATTATAAATTCGTTCGGCGTGCAGAACAAAATGACTCCAATAAAAAATTGACATAAATTCAAAAAAGGTTTTAATCAACAATAAGACCTACGGAAATGTTGTCTACAATTAAGTTGGGAAATAATTCATTTCCGTCCCAATAAGTCCAGGATTCGAAGTTCCTGTCGGCTGCATTCATCACAGCGTTACATTCAACCGTATTTATTGAATCTGGATTGCCATCAGGAAGACACAGACCGAATTCTGTTAAAAACCGTCCTCCACCAGTGTATTTAACTATACTTCTCGCATTATTCAATGCATAATTCAAGAGAAGCTACACAAACAATATCAATGTTAACATTGATTAAGTATGTGAATGATTATTACAATAAAACTAGACTGCAATAAACTGCATACACTGCGTCAAAGCAATAAAACATTAATCATTTTGTTCATTGACCTATCACTGATTACATTTATGACTGAGCCGTAATTCAGAAATCACCACAAATATATGAAGAATGAAATTAGTTATGAAATTCCACACAGTATGAAGGACGGTTTGAATACATTGATTGGTAGTGTATTCATGAAATCACATCATGTCAGTTCATTCAATCATCAAACATTTATTTTATAAACTGATTAGCACCTATTACTATTAATTACAGTTTTCATGTCAAATCGTAGTGTTTAGATTTTCATTCCTAGATTACTCTACAGCACTTTAATTAAGTTGAGTTTGTTTTCTGGTGTTTTGTTCAACCCAATCAGTTCATCATTTATTAAGGACACATTAAACATTTATCCATATCAGTTGTAACTACCATTTGTATTTTAAAAGAAATGTTGTGGATGCGCAGGAATAGACCAATAATTATCATGCTAAGTCCAATGGTGTCCTTGGACTTTAAATGGACATTTTCTATTGGTCGATATCTGTTCACTTGTGAATATTGTACAAAATGTTGTTTTCTATTTTTATGGTACGATGTGGTTTGTTTGCTTGGTATATAAATAGAGTATGTTTGAAATACAATGATTCATATCTCAGAGGTTGTGACTTGTCTTCTGGACTCAACTGGCTGGGCTGGACAGGGGAGCAGGACCAATCAGAACCCTAGGTCGTTCTACGTGTTTGTGCGTCTTTGGTCCGATCAATAATTCGCTCCCCCTTAATCCGCAGCATTATTATTTTTCACAGTCATAACAAGAAATATTCACTGTTTTGCCTAACATCATACATTCAGTATGTGCAGACCGCAAATGGGTGCTCGATCAAACAAAAAAACGTGTTTGTCAATTTCATTTTTACAATTGATATCATACAGGTTGGTGCGAATAACACAGTAGAATTGCACTTCCCCTTATATCTATCGATGTAATAATCAGATTAGAATTTCACTTTACTTCATAAACTGGAGATTGTGTCAACACAGAACATGTGTACGATTGTATGCAAAATCCTATGGTGTTTATGAATGGGTTTCAATAAACAACTGAGTTTAATCACAGCTACAAAATAGCTAATTTTACTTTGAAAGGTAACACAGAGTACATATTAATTCAATGCTTCTATTTACACTTCCACTGTTAGTTTATAGGTGGTTTTGGCTAATTCACTATATCTCAAGAGTACAAAGATGACAGAATCCATACTTATCATTGCTGTATAGAATTATTCGTCATTGTTGTTTATTCATCTACGCCCAACTTCAGACACACCCATTACTATAACTTTTGCTAGTTAGGATGATTCATAGAACATAAATGCTATTACTGTATAGAAGGAATGTAGAAATTTCTCATCTTATTTAACTTGTTTTAATCAATTACAAAGTAAACAATCGTTCTAACAATTTTGCAAACTTATTCATCATCATCATATTGTTTACTGTGAGTATTTTTATGGTGAAAATAAATGAATTGGTGATTGGTAATTGATAAATATGAGCTAGTTTATGGAAGTTTTTCAATCAATTCTAAGTAAATAAATTCTGAAGTACGTGAATGTTTTGGTGTTGTTTTCATTATTATTATTATTTTAATTATTATTTCCATTTCTCTTTTTGGTATTAAACCTAATCTTTATGAAAGCTTTGGTTTCCACAGAGGATCAGCATCAGTGAATGTATTACATAGAACAAGAAATATTTATATGAATCATTGTCTTATAGCGGAACACCTCAGGAGTAATCACACACAATTACAACAGATGTTAGAGCACAAACATTTATCCCTGAAGGTAGGAAATGGAAATGTAGACCCCTAACATAAAATATAACTCATTAAATGTTACTGTTAAGTCAATTCACGATGGCGCTCGATGATCATGCAATGTCATAGATGACAAATATCTCAACGTCGATATGGCTTAACGATTTGTAATTCGGATCTAGCGAAATTTCTTAGTGTGCTACGTGGTTTCGGGAACAAAAATGAGCTACAAGTAATTGCCTGAGTTCACTCAAATTTATTTCCCTAGTCAATATTTACATATTTAATGAGGGTGTTGAAAATGATCAACTATAAAAATGAAACGTGTGACATCATAAATCCATACGTCCGCATAAATGAGAGATAATTTCGCCTCGAAAATTCTGTCACGGACTAACAAACCAAAACCAACAGATAACTCTTTTCATAAGTCATCGAGTAACTCAATGGCAATAATAAACTATTTAAAGGTGGAAATTGTGAAGCACCTCAGAATTACGACTAAACAAATATTCATGGTCTAAAGGATTTGAGTGGTCAATCAATCATTTTAATATCATGATCGACATTAGTTGAAATATTTAGAAAGGCATATATCTAATAATGAGGCGATCAAGAGTAAAATCTCAGCAGATCTAATGCTTCATTTTTATAATATTTTCAAGAGAGGTATCAATTACTGAAGCTAAAGCCTACTTTCACATGATTGGTGTTTGCAAAAACTTAACAGAATATCGAAGATTCTATGTTGCTTAACTCACATCCAATAATCAATGGCGTTCTTCCTATATGAAATTTGTTCAAATAATTAAATTTTGGGCTTGACAATAACGCAAGGAATTCAGCTGACTGAAGCTAAATTGACAATCATCGTATGCTAAAGTGCTGATCTGAAAACGCACTCGCTAAGACATATTAAGGCTTTAGGTTTGATTTCTGGTAGGGTTTTAAGCACTCCCTACAGACTAGTGAATAGTTGTCGGGTTAACGTCAGGATATGGTGTGAAATGTAAATGGCATTTTATTATGAAAATACTTTCGGTCAGCGGTCCTTCGACGTTTAACTTGATTGAATGAAGCTGTTCTGAATATAGATCCAATCATTTATTTATTTAGAAAATATTATTAGGAGTGATAACAGATTTCAAAATTTTCCAGTCAAGTCCGATAATCAAGTTACGAATAAAATGAAAGCCAGTTAGCTTATGCTAAAAAATATCAGTTGGTTAATGTTGATATTAAAGCATCGAGACATTGGAATGCATATGCGTTACAAACAATAAACCAGGTAATTGAACTCTCACTTTATCACACAAATATCGTTTCCATGATGGCATATTCTCTGTAGATGGTGTCGATTCCAACAACCAACAGTAGTAATGATAAGATAATACACTCTTCTTTCTGGCCGTCTCATCTTGTAATAAACCGGGAACACGATGGATACCAGTACCAGGTATTCCATTAACAAATGGAAAATATATTCCATAAGTTACACTCTCGTAAAATATCAATGTATTCTTGTCTGTTTGGCGAATAACATTTACCAAATAATCATAAAATGATAAGAGACTGTGACCTGCATTATCTGTCCGAATATAAAATGAAAAAGATCGGAATTGTAAGAATTGAAATAGATTTTGAGAATGAATATAAGTGAAAGTTGACAAAAATAAACATATCTGTTGCGGACAGAATGTTTTCGGGAAGATAGATTGTGGTAGGTAATGAAATTCATGACGCTCGTTCAATTTTATTGGGGACTTATTAAATGGGTCATCTTACATCTAAGCCTTCGTACTTGTATTCAAGTTTGTAGTGTCAGTTATTATGCCAAGCCCATATACCTTATTCTAGCTTCCGGACATCCCATTTTATTCATTCTGCTCGAGCCATACTTTGACCTTGTAAATTATTCGCTTATCAAGCTAGACTTTTTATATGAGCGTATATGTGTGTGCCCTTCTTATCCTATTAGTCACATGTCTGTAGCTTTATTTTGTCTGACTATAAATATTGAGTAACGCATGACAAAGATGGAGTTGGCTTCCCAGCCATCTTCCATACGCGTCATTTTTGCTTTGCTATGTTTCATTCGCTTCGTGTACGAAATATATGTATTCTCAAGTCAATTCTCGTTATTCGACTTATTTAATTCCGTTTTTTGGATAACGCGATTTAAGTCGACGATGATATACGAGAATCAGCGATAACAAACGTTCATACAATCATTCGTACAATATAAATTGGAGTCAGATCAACGGCCACAAAAAGTTAAGAATATCAATATCAGGGAAATCTATTCTCTTCTAATAATCACCAAATGTTCTTCATTTGTAAGTCTTCTTTTGAGATTAAACGATGTGAACAAATCAATCACCCAACATGGCATCATGCATAGTATAGGTTAATGAGTAAGTCAATTAATTTTGGCGGATCTTATCTCGATGTCTGTTTTGTTGATTACATTCACGGTGGAAAAACAGACAGAATGAGTGATAATCGTAATAATGAAGATGGCGAATTCCGAAATCACACTGACTGAAATTATAAACACGTAACCTAGTTCTACATAACATCTTTTTTATTCTTAATACGATTGTCATTATGATCAATATTACTATCATTTTTTGCCCATTTATTTATGTGTTCTAAATTATCACCAACAAAATATTGAATAGCTAAAGACAATAGACAAATCGTTTTGTTCGTTGTTAGTTCACCTGTTGGTATTAATTGTCATTATGATAAAATATATTTTATGCTTGTCATCTACTTTCTAATATTCAATACTGCAGTCGCCATATGTTATTTCTGGATGAATCAGGTTAAAAATGATAAGATGTTCGTTTAATTGCTTTAGTAAATATTTTATTGATAACCATGGCTACGATTGATCACTTGCTTCTAGAATCTGATTGCCATTAGAACTACTCAAATACTGTCAATTCGTATGAAACGTATGAGTTATGTGATAGCTGCTTATTATCAATCACAGGTTTAGATTGCATAATTATGTTTTGCGATTTCGTTTTTATTGAGGTAATGAACCAACCAATGTCAGATCACCATTGGTTACCTGGAAGCACTGGAAGGCTGTTCAGTCTTGAAATTTGACTTCTCAGCAGTGAGCATCCATGGTCCTGCAAGCGGGACGCGCACTGTTGAAAAATCACGTTTTAAGACGAGATGGCCATCCAGTGTTTCAAGGTTTACAATAGGAAGTCGACAGTTTCCACAACTCTAAACTGATAATTTTGTTTGTTAGTGAGATATTGTCACAATGGTATGTCGCAAAATATGAGAGATACTTTCACATCTGAACAATGTCAAGAACAAAGCGACGTGAAACTCCAGACAAGATGAAACGAAAGTGGTCGTTTCATATATTTGTATCAATCAGCAAATTTCTTTTGAAACCAACGTAATCTCTGTTGCAGTCGAAACCGTCAGTGAAGTAACCTGACAGCAATCAATTTCTCGATTTTAGTCTTTTAGGTATAGTATTGAGATTCTGTGCCGATGTACCTTTTCACTGATTTGATCAATACAATGTAAACAGTATTGCCTGTATTTTTTATATAAGCGACAATAATTCTTTAGTCGAACCAACAGAAGTGAAACTGGGGTTTATGAATTAATTGGACTTTCCATTTTAATTGCAACTTAGAACATTTGATTCGTAGGAGGTTACACCGAAAAAGAATAAAGAAAAACGAACCTAGTCCGTTTCTATGTTAACTGTTTCAGCAAAATATCAACAGGCAAAATGTGAGATGAAAATAACGTATTTGATGGAATGTAGTCTACAATCAATTAACAGTACTAATGAGCCACAATGACTAAAAGCAATCACGAAACATTATTCAGAATTTTATTAATATTCAACAAAACAGCGAAATGTTAACTTCATGCAACTTACTAGGCAAAAGAAGGAATGGATTTAAATAAAAATTTCCAGGTGGTGGTTCATTTATCAAATTATAACCTAAAACATTATCTTTCTTCCCGAAACGACTAGTTGTTATCATCCAATATTCTGCAAAATAATTCCATATTCCTGAAACATTTTTATATATACTTTCAAATACATGTGCACTCTCATATGTGGCGTACGTTAGAAACCATTGGCTTTTACTCGGATCTTTCGTTAGTGGCCAAGGGTATTGAAATAAATATGGTGGTCGCTTTATTTTATCCATAAACCAATTAGGCACAGCATCAATTGCACCTAGACGTTTCGATAATCCATCTTGATGCAAATCAATGATGATATAAACTCCATATAATCCAGCATTGTCGATAATCCTTTCAATGATATCTAAGTACTCTCGATTGATTTCGTTTTCCTGTGGTTTTAATGCTATCCAGTTGAATTCTAAGCGTATAACATTAATTCCCCAATCTCTAAGTACTCTGAATGAATGAGGGTCAAGTAGTTTTGGAAAGTAAAATGGTGCGACTTTATGCACACAGTTGATTCCATGAAATAATTTAATAAATCCTTGTGGATCAACAAAGTAACCAGTATCATCGTCAATGGTGACTTTTGCATGAGCTTGTGAATGGAAGAATTTTGGTAGTAATATCATTATCCATGACAAACGTAAGAGTGCATCAATTAGAACGTTCATAAAGTCTCCAAGAAGTTTATGTTGCTTTGAAGATCTTGTCGATCTCACCGAAGTGAATAAAAATTCCGTTTAAAACCACAAGGACAATGTAATAGGTTAGTGATTGACAGTAAATAGTAAATTAAATGAGAAACATGTACTCAGTAATTTATTGCCAAGTGTTTTTGTCTGACATTATCTAAAATTCAATTTTTAGGATATTTTGTGTAACACTAAATTCTAATGGTCTGTATCTACGATTCAATAGTATGTGCGTATAGATTATGTACAAGTAACTTTATAATCACTGATGGGAGTGAAGATAAATATGGTATATATCAGATATTTAAGTTAAATGAGACAACTATAAATGGTTACAGTTTACTTTGATTAATTTATTACAATGGTCTAATTGGTCTTATATATATGTCACAGTGACCTTGAGAGTTTAAGGGCTGTTTCCAAATAAATTATCAAACTATCATTGGATCAAAGTTAATTAAAAATTAATAGTTAGCTAATCATTCTATTTTCAGTAGTTGCTTAATTTGTTACAGGTAATTTGAAGCTGAAATTTCAAGCAATGTCTACAAATTATCGATCAAATACAATCGTTATTAATGAGCATCCTAATGAGCTACGGATTAGTGTTAATTGGTTAACTACTGTACTGTACAAAGAATACAGAAATTCGATCAGTACTCTTTTTTCCGAAGATTTCTAAATCACCGAAATAACTTCAAAAGCTGGTATTATTTGTTTCAAAAGGTGAATCATTCTATTTTATCTAAGCTAAGAAATAAAAAGTATGTTTACTTTGAATAAACTGTTACTGTTAATTCTGTCTTACGTTCTCTGTCCTTATTCACTTCACTTGATTTCGAATCGTTTACGTATTATTTTTCAGTACTTATTAATATTTAGTAAATAGAAGTATTCCTAGCAATTTCTACGCTTATGTTGTAACGCAAGTCGGTCGTGTAATACTGTCAAATATTTACATATTCTTATAACATTTATTGTATTTATCATTTTAATTACTTATATCAATCATTGTATCAGTTGTTCGCAATTTCTCGCGGTCGTTTAACCCTTGTTTAAACGCAACAGTTTCCATATCACTTGCTTGTTAATAAACCGTTATGAAGTTATGATACAGCCAACGGCTGTCACTTTTGCACTATCAAAGCCTTCTTATTTCAGACAAAAGGACATGGTAAACGCCTCAGACACCTCACAAGTTGAGGTGTGTAACTAATGTTCGTACATTATTCAATAAAGAACCGCTATCTCTGATAAATCGTTGACTCGTGAACTTCGATTTTGCGCGTATATCAATTGAGTGATTTGATGCTTCAGTACAGTTAACAGTTAATTTCATCTAGCGTGAGTTACAAGTGGCAATAGGTGGGTATTGTATGCGTAGCTATATTCTTGCTGTTTGGATGAATCAAGTGCTTATGAGAAGAAATGTAACCACGTCTTATATTTCTATAACAATAAAAAATTGATGAACTGAATCTTGTGTTACGACTTGATAAAGAATTTAACTTATCAATCTAGTCGTTGATTAACACATATCATTACCACATATGCATTTTTTGGAACAACAATATATACAGACTTTTATGTTTTATAGAAAATACGTGACTATTTTATGATCACATCTACAGAAGATCACGTTAACAATTGAGAATTTAATGAATAGGGAAATTTGAAACATGTCGAATATATAGAATATTAAGGCATTGAAAACGAAAACGGGTTTTGATGAGAAACATTTTATTTTTGTGGTATTTGAAATTTTCTAAATAATTTAACTGTACGTCATAATCATTTGAACGTAAACGTAATGATAATCACTTGGAATTGGAGAACATTGAACGTCTGCTTTTTCACAATTTCTTACGATTCAGTCATAAATGTAATATGTGATTGGTCAATGAACAAAATGATTAATGTGTTATTAGTTTGACACAACGCATGCAGTTTATTGTAGTCTAGGTGTATTACAGTAATGATTCAAATTTTATCATGTGATATTTCTTTAGTTTAGTCAAAATATGTTGAAAGATGTGAAAATATCAAGGAGTTCACAATTAACAATATTGATACAGATTTCGAATAAGTTGGTAAATGACTATAATTGTTGTCTGAATGATTATATTGTGTTTGGTTTGGTATGATCGTTATTTCCATAAGTTCAATATTTGTGTTGATCAACGTACATGGTGCATAGACAAACATTAAATTAGTATTATTTTCATACATTTTATAATATAATTGTTCTGGTACAAAACGAGTTCTCACTCCATATGGATAATGAATCGACATTGGAACAAAAATCTCTGCAACTAACAATGATGCGTCCACGTTTGTACAATACTTCTGTGTGGGTACAAAAGCATAATAAAACACACCTGAATCGACATCGAATCTCAGTTTGACAGGTTGACCGGCAGTTGATTGTGGATATGTACGACTGAATGATCTCAACTGCATGGTGAATAAGATAACATAAATGCTTAGTTTTATAACTAATATACAACGTATTTGAACTCACTATTTACTATCATGAAATAACGAAATGAAACAAGCTACTGCATTAATGTGAAGTACATATACAAATTATTTAATTTGAAGACAGTGTAAATCATGACCTGATAGCTTGATAACCAAAGGAAGTAACAAAACTTTGGAGAGATATTCTAGGATGAAATAGTTATTTAAATATTTCTAAAGGAACCATGACTAATTAGTGTTTTATCGTATCTGACATACATGAATGATCAAAGACTAATGATTAAGTAGTTAGGTGACTGCAGTAAGAAGTAAAATGACTCTTCTAAAATTAATATCACTACTGAAATAGAGTCAGCTGTTGACGATTTTCGACCATATATTTTTGTTCATAAGCTTACTTTAGAACTCTATCATAAATGACATTGAAAAAAAACTATCAGAAGCGAACTGAATTCTTCAAATCAATTGTTGTTTTACTGCGCTTTGGTCATTAGGGTATTATTATTAATGACAAACTTTCTCGATTTGTTTTCATGAGATGGGTTATCGTAACCTGATGATGAAAATATTTTCACTAAGCACAGCAGACGGTTAACGAAAGTCTGATATTGCCTAATACTGGAGTTTTCCGAAGTTATCCAAGGCCAAACAAACGAGGGAGGCAAATAATGTATAATTGTAAAGTTAAGCATTAATATGTATTGAAAAGTTAAAGAAATGTAGTTCAGAAGAGAACATCAGCGATCGGACGCTCACACGATCTCTCTTCGTGAATATCAGTGAACAAGAAAATAAGTGTGGTATTATTTCTTCAGAGAAATCAAAGGCCATACAAAATGTGTACGAAAAGGTCCAACTCAAAAACCATCATCACGATAATTAATACTCCATAATCATGTTTCATTGTCATGAATTCTATAAGGTTGAGGGTTCTACTAAGTCGAATTCCTTAGTAGTTTACGAAGGCTTTCGATTTCACCAACTCATGATATATCTTAACTTACGCTTATACATGATCTTAGAAGATTGTTGACCATGTGATGGTGTACAGTGGAAATTTGTCGATCACAGAGATGTGTGTTTAGGCAAAAGACATTTGAATAGTGGTTAGCTCCTTTCATTCTTTGCTTTTTCTACACCTATTCTTTTTTGATTGAACTGCAAAACTCTGAAGTCATGTAATGGTAGTGAGAATCACCCACAAAAGAAAACGTATCCATTGGTTAGTCAGTGGACTATAATAGTTCCTGCTCCATACAAAATAGCGGGAGTGTATATTTAGAATTCTATTAAATAAACGAAGAAAGCATTGTTGAGACAGTTGATTGTGACAGGGACCAACATGACTGAGGTCATTAGTTCTGAAGAATACTTTAAACAGTTCAGTTTAGAGAGTAGTAATAGTAATACTTAAAGAGGTAATCAATGGACAGTCGGGAACTAACTAGACTTTATTTGTCCAACATTGATTGGAGATTTGATATATGAAGAAACTTACAGGAGAGCAAATACCGTACACTAGGTGGGTGTATCACAGTTTTTCAGTTACGCGTACTTGACAAATCGGTTTGCATAAATTCCTTCTCTGTTCTTGTTCACTTAACTGTAATATTTCGGATAACATGAAATTCAAGCAGAATGTAGATAATGAGGACTGGAAGAGGGATTTCAGAATATGTTCCTTACAAATTAATTGTTTGAATCGCCGACTAAGCTCTTTGTGAATAAGATAACATAAACGCTTAATTTTATAAGCAATATACAACGTATTTGAACTCACTATTTACTGTCATGTTAACACTTTCCCCAACTATACATCACTCAATTTATTAGTAATTTTATTTTGTGTGGGCTGTTTAAGCTCTAAAAGAAATTTTCGAAATCAAAAGCATAAACATAAAACATTTGATTTGGTGAAATCTTCATCTCTGAGTTTATCAGGGTTCCCCACTTGAGTTCGCTACATTTGGTATTACTGCCAAAGGGGAGGTGGAAAGGATGCAGTTCTGCGGACGCCGTTGGGAGGCCGAGAGATGAGTGATTAGTTTGTGTGGTTCGGCCTAGGAAGTAGACGTAAAGTGGAGTGTTCTGGCAATGTGGTGCTGGGTGTACTAGACGCTGTGGATGGCGATAAGAAGTGGGACGTCCGGTTTAAGAAGAAAGCCTCACGGCATGCAAAACATCTACAGGAGCGACCGTTTGGAGGGCGAGGGGAAGAATTTGGTGGATGCTTAGTATGCTGACAGTTTTAAGAAGCATTTAGGAACAATCGGAAATATAATACCGAGAGCAGAAGATTGAAATGAAGAGAACAGAAAGGAAATCGGAGAGGAAATGAAATAGCAACAGAATTAGAGGAATGATGGATTATGTAAAGGACAACGCGAAGATGTGTAAGTGTTATATATGTGTGATTTCTATATTTTGCAAAGCCACTGTTTGATTGTGCACTAAACGACAAATTGGATTTCCTCACCTGAGTTCTCGTCTACGACAATACGAGTATGGGAAATACCATTTATTTCCTGAATTTATTCTGATGGTACTGTCCAAAATGAAAATTATAAATTCGTTCGGCGTGCAGAACAAAATGACTCCAATAAAAAATTGACATAAATTCAAAAAAGGTTTTAATCAACAATAAGACCTACGGAAATGTTGTCTACAATTAAGTTGGGAAATAATTCATTTCCGTCCCAATAAGTCCAGGATTCGAAGTTCCTGTCGGCTGCATTCATCACAGCGTTACATTCAACCGTATTTATTGAATCTGGATTGCCATCAGGAAGACACAGACCGAATTCTGTTAAAAACCGTCCTCCACCAGTGTATTTAACTATACTTCTCGCATTATTCAATGCATAATTCAAGAGAAGCTACACAAACAATATCAATGTTAACATTGATTAAGTATGTGAATGATTATTACAATAAAACTAGACTGCAATAAACTGCATACACTGCGTCAAAGCAATAAAACATTAATCATTTTGTTCATTGACCTATCACTGATTACATTTATGACTGAGCCGTAATTCAGAAATCACCACAAATATATGAAGAATGAAATTAGTTATGAAATTCCACACAGTATGAAGGACGGTTTGAATACATTGATTGGTAGTGTATTCATGAAATCACATCATGTCAGTTCATTCAATCATCAAACATTTATTTTATAAACTGATTAGCACCTATTACTATTAATTACAGTTTTCATGTCAAATCGTAGTGTTTAGATTTTCATTCCTAGATTACTCTACAGCACTTTAATTAAGTTGAGTTTGTTTTCTGGTGTTTTGTTCAACCCAATCAGTTCATCATTTATTAAGGACACATTAAACATTTATCCATATCAGTTGTAACTACCATTTGTATTTTAAAAGAAATGTTGTGGATGCGCAGGAATAGACCAATAATTATCATGCTAAGTCCAATGGTGTCCTTGGACTTTAAATGGACATTTTCTATTGGTCGATATCTGTTCACTTGTGAATATTGTACAAAATGTTGTTTTCTATTTTTATGGTACGATGTGGTTTGTTTGCTTGGTATATAAATAGAGTATGTTTGAAATACAATGATTCATATCTCAGAGGTTGTGACTTGTCTTCTGGACTCAACTGGCTGGGCTGGACAGGGGAGCAGGACCAATCAGAACCCTAGGTCGTTCTACGTGTTTGTGCGTCTTTGGTCCGATCAATAATTCGCTCCCCCTTAATCCGCAGCATTATTATTTTTCACAGTCATAACAATTGGCGACGGGGTGGAGAAAAATTTTGAACCTTATAATTGGACGCGATTCAGGCTAATTGTTTCGACCAATCAGCATCCACATTGTCACCAGCGTCCTTGAGCAACATTGGTCATTATTCCTACAGTTAATTTTCATTGCTGGTGCAAAAAAAATGACTACCTGTTCCGATCAATTACAGCTTCTACTTGAGCAACAACAGCAGTGCTTCAAAAATAGCCGGTTGAATTTTTTAGAAAATTTACGCACACTGTTGGTAAATCTTCCATGTTTCGGAAATGCAACAGAAGTTGGTAATTTCATTTCTCATCTGAAGACTGAGCTGGAAAACAACTGCAGAACATATGAAGCTGCCTATAAAAGCCTCTGTGAATCCCGGACGACCAGTGATGTAAACGAGACAATCATTCATGATCCGCCCAGTTGTTCAGAAATGTCAAATTCAGAAACATTCCCTGTTGTGGGTTCAAATCCCACTGTGCCTGAAAGATGTGAGGTATCCAGCTTACAAGAAGAACCTCTCGTGTCAGAAAATGTTTCCCGTGCATCAAATAATGGTCAGAAGTCTAATACGAATTTCAAAGATGCTGTTTGTTTTAGTGACCTATTATCCAGTGATAGAATTTTGAAGAGGTCTGAAGAATATGTTGCACAAGAATCAAACCTTAATGACCTCATGTCTGGTGTCGCTAATCCTCATCATCTAGTCAGTCTTAGTGAACCCTCTACTCAATGCGCGAAATATGCTTTAATTCGAATCAGACTAACTAATGCTTGGGTATATGAGGACCCAACGTTATTTCGTGGGGGAGGATGAACCCAGAAAATTTCAAAATCCGGATATCAACTCCGGATCTTCAAAAAAAAGGGAGGTGTTGTGGATGCGCAGGAATAGACCAATAATTATCATGCTAAGTCCAATGGTGTCCTTGGACTTTAAATGGACATTTTCTATTGGTCGATATCTGTTCACTTGTGAATATTGTACAAAATGTTGTTTTCTATTTTTATGGTACGATGTGGTTTGTTTGCTTGGTATATAAATAGAGTACGTTTGAAATACAATGATTCATATCTCAGAGGTTGTGACTTGTCTTCTGGACTCAACTGGCTGGGCTGGACAGGGGAGCAGGACCAATCAGAACCCTAGGTCGTTCTACGTGTTTGTGCGTCTTTGGTCCGATCAATAATTCGCTCCCCCTTAATCCGCAGCATTATTATTTTTCACAGTCATAACAAGAAATATTCACTGTTTTGCCTAACATCATACATTCAGTATGTGCAGACCGCAAATGGGTGCTCGATCAAACAAAAAAACGTGTTTGTCAATTTCATTTTTACAATTGATATCATACAGGTTGGTGCGAATAACACAGTAGAATTGCACTTCCCCTTATATCTATCGATGTAATAATCAGATTAGAATTTCACTTTACTTCATAAACTGGAGATTGTGTCAACACAGAACATGTGTACGATTGTATGCAAAATCCTATGGTGTTTATGAATGGGTTTCAATAAACAACTGAGTTTAATCACAGCTACAAAATAGCTAATTTTACTTTGAAAGGTAACACAGAGTACATATTAATTCAATGCTTCTATTTACACTTCCACTGTTAGTTTATAGGTGGTTTTGGCTAATTCACTATATCTCAAGAGTACAAAGATGACAGAATCCATACTTATCATTGCTGTATAGAATTATTCGTCATTGTTGTTTATTCATCTACGCCCAACTTCAGACACACCCATTACTATAACTTTTGCTAGTTAGGATGATTCATAGAACATAAATGCTATTACTGTATAGAAGGAATGTAGAAATTTCTCATCTTATTTAACTTGTTTTAATCAATTACAAAGTAAACAATCGTTCTAACAATTTTGCAAACTTATTCATCATCATCATATTGTTTACTGTGAGTATTTTTATGGTGAAAATAAATGAATTGGTGATTGGTAATTGATAAATATGAGCTAGTTTATGGAAGTTTTTCAATCAATTCTAAGTAAATAAATTCTGAAGTACGTGAATGTTTTGGTGTTGTTTTCATTATTATTATTATTTTAATTATTATTTCCATTTCTCTTTTTGGTATTAAACCTAATCTTTATGAAAGCTTTGGTTTCCACAGAGGATCAGCATCAGTGAATGTATTACATAGAACAAGAAATATTTATATGAATCATTGTCTTATAGCGGAACACCTCAGGAGTAATCACACACAATTACAACAGATGTTAGAGCACAAACATTTATCCCTGAAGGTAGGAAATGGAAATGTAGACCCCTAACATAAAATATAACTCATTAAATGTTACTGTTAAGTCAATTCACGATGGCGCTCGATGATCATGCAATGTCATAGATGACAAATATCTCAACGTCGATATGGCTTAACGATTTGTAATTCGGATCTAGCGAAATTTCTTAGTGTGCTACGTGGTTTCGGGAACAAAAATGAGCTACAAGTAATTGCCTGAGTTCACTCAAATTTATTTCCCTAGTCAATATTTACATATCTAATAAGCGTATTGAAAATGGTCAGCTATATAAATGAAACGTGTGCGATAATAACTCCATACGTTTACATAGATGAGAGATAATTTCGCTTCGAAATTTCTGTCAAGGACTAACAAACCAAAACCAACAGATAACTCTTTTCATAAGTCATCGAGCAACTCAATGGCATTAATAAACTATTTAAAGGTGGAAATTGTGAAGCACCTCAGAATTACGACTAAACAAATATTCATGGTCTAAAGGATTTGAGTGGTCAATCAATCATTTTAATATCATGATCGACATTAGTTGAAATATTTAGAAAGGCATATATCTAATAATGAGGCGATCAAGAGTAAAATCTCAGCAGATCTAATGCTTCATTTTTATAATATTTTCAAGAGAGGTATCAATTACTGAAGCTAAAGCCTACTTTCACATGGTTGGTGCTTGCAAAAACTTAACAGAATATCGAGGATTCTATGTTGCTTAACTCACATCCAATAATCAATGGCGTTCTTCCTATATGAAATTTGTTCAAATAATTAAATTTTGGGCTTGACAATAACGCAAGGAATTCAGCTGACTGAAGCTAAATTGACAATCATCGTATGCTAAAGTGCTGATCTGAAAACGCACTCGCTAAGACATATTAAGGCTTTAGGTTTGATTTCTGGTAGGGTTTTAAGCACTCCCTACAGACTAGTGAATAGTTGTCGGGTTAACGTCAGGATATGGTGTGAAATGTAAATGGCATTTTATTATGAAAATACTTTCGGTCAGCGGTCCTTCGACGTTTAACTTGATTGAATGAAGCTGTTCTGAATATAGATCCAATCATTTATTTATTTAGAAAATATTATTAGGAGTGATAACAGATTTCAAAATTTTCCAGTCAAGTCCGATAATCAAGTTACGAATAAAATGAAAGCCAGTTAGCTTATGCTAAAAAATATCAGTTGGTTAATGTTGATATTAAAGCATCGAGACATTGGAATGCATATGCGTTACAAACAATAAACCAGGTAATTGAACTCTCACTTTATCACACAAATATCGTTTCCATGATGGCATATTCTCTGTAGATGGTGTCGATTCCAACAACCAACAGTAGTAATGATAAGATAATACACTCTTCTTTCTGGCCGTCTCATCTTGTAATAAACCGGGAACACGATGGATACCAGTACCAGGTATTCCATTAACAAATGGAAAATATATTCCATAAGTTACACTCTCGTAAAATATCAATGTATTCTTGTCTGTTTGGCGAATAACATTTACCAAATAATCATAAAATGATAAGAGACTGTGACCTGCATTATCTGTCCGAATATAAAATGAAAAAGATCGGAATTGTAAGAATTGAAATAGATTTTGAGAATGAATATAAGTGAAAGTTGACAAAAATAAACATATCTGTTGCGGACAGAATGTTTTCGGGAAGATAGATTGTGGTAGGTAATGAAATTCATGACGCTCGTTCAATTTTATTGGGGACTTATTAAATGGGTCATCTTACATCTAAGCCTTCGTACTTGTATTCAAGTTTGTAGTGTCAGTTATTATGCCAAGCCCATATACCTTATTCTAGCTTCCGGACATCCCATTTTATTCATTCTGCTCGAGCCATACTTTGACCTTGTAAATTATTCGCTTATCAAGCTAGACTTTTTATATGAGCGTATATGTGTGTGCCCTTCTTATCCTATTAGTCACATGTCTGTAGCTTTATTTTGTCTGACTATAAATATTGAGTAACGCATGACAAAGATGGAGTTGGCTTCCCAGCCATCTTCCATACGCGTCATTTTTGCTTTGCTATGTTTCATTCGCTTCGTGTACGAAATATATGTATTCTCAAGTCAATTCTCGTTATTCGACTTATTTAATTCCGTTTTTTGGATAACGCGATTTAAGTCGACGATGATATACGAGAATCAGCGATAACAAACGTTCATACAATCATTCGTACAATATAAATTGGAGTCAGATCAACGGCCACAAAAAGTTAAGAATATCAATATCAGGGAAATCTATTCTCTTCTAATAATCACCAAATGTTCTTCATTTGTAAGTCTTCTTTTGAGATTAAACGATGTGAACAAATCAATCACCCAACATGGCATCATGCATAGTATAGGTTAATGAGTAAGTCAATTAATTTTGGCGGATCTTATCTCGATGTCTGTTTTGTTGATTACATTCACGGTGGAAAAACAGACAGAATGAGTGATAATCGTAATAATGAAGATGGCGAATTCCGAAATCACACTGACTGAAATTATAAACACGTAACCTAGTTCTACATAACATCTTTTTTATTCTTAATACGATTGTCATTATGATCAATATTACTATCATTTTTTGCCCATTTATTTATGTGTTCTAAATTATCACCAACAAAATATTGAATAGCTAAAGACAATAGACAAATCGTTTTGTTCGTTGTTAGTTCACCTGTTGGTATTAATTGTCATTATGATAAAATATATTTTATGCTTGTCATCTACTTTCTAATATTCAATACTGCAGTCGCCATATGTTATTTCTGGATGAATCAGGTTAAAAATGATAAGATGTTCGTTTAATTGCTTTAGTAAATATTTTATTGATAACCATGGCTACGATTGATCACTTGCTTCTAGAATCTGATTGCCATTAGAACTACTCAAATACTGTCAATTCGTATGAAACGTATGAGTTATGTGATAGCTGCTTATTATCAATCACAGGTTTAGATTGCATAATTATGTTTTGCGATTTCGTTTTTATTGAGGTAATGAACCAACCAATGTCAGATCACCATTGGTTACCTGGAAGCACTGGAAGGCTGTTCAGTCTTGAAATTTGACTTCTCAGCAGTGAGCATCCATGGTCCTGCAAGCGGGACGCGCACTGTTGAAAAATCACGTTTTAAGACGAGATGGCCATCCAGTGTTTCAAGGTTTACAATAGGAAGTCGACAGTTTCCACAACTCTAAACTGATAATTTTGTTTGTTAGTGAGATATTGTCACAATGGTATGTCGCAAAATATGAGAGATACTTTCACATCTGAACAATGTCAAGAACAAAGCGACGTGAAACTCCAGACAAGATGAAACGAAAGTGGTCGTTTCATATATTTGTATCAATCAGCAAATTTCTTTTGAAACCAACGTAATCTCTGTTGCAGTCGAAACCGTCAGTGAAGTAACCTGACAGCAATCAATTTCTCGATTTTAGTCTTTTAGGTATAGTATTGAGATTCTGTGCCGATGTACCTTTTCACTGATTTGATCAATACAATGTAAACAGTATTGCCTGTATTTTTTATATAAGCGACAATAATTCTTTAGTCGAACCAACAGAAGTGAAACTGGGGTTTATGAATTAATTGGACTTTCCATTTTAATTGCAACTTAGAACATTTGATTCGTAGGAGGTTACACCGAAAAAGAATAAAGAAAAACGAACCTAGTCCGTTTCTATGTTAACTGTTTCAGCAAAATATCAACAGGCAAAATGTGAGATGAAAATAACGTATTTGATGGAATGTAGTCTACAATCAATTAACAGTACTAATGAGCCACAATGACTAAAAGCAATCACGAAACATTATTCAGAATTTTATTAATATTCAACAAAACAGCGAAATGTTAACTTCATGCAACTTACTAGGCAAAAGAAGGAATGGATTTAAATAAAAATTTCCAGGTGGTGGTTCATTTATCAAATTATAACCTAAAACATTATCTTTCTTCCCGAAACGACTAGTTGTTATCATCCAATATTCTGCAAAATAATTCCATATTCCTGAAACATTTTTATATATACTTTCAAATACATGTGCACTCTCATATGTGGCGTACGTTAGAAACCATTGGCTTTTACTCGGATCTTTCGTTAGTGGCCAAGGGTATTGAAATAAATATGGTGGTCGCTTTATTTTATCCATAAACCAATTAGGCACAGCATCAATTGCACCTAGACGTTTCGATAATCCATCTTGATGCAAATCAATGATGATATAAACTCCATATAATCCAGCATTGTCGATAATCCTTTCAATGATATCTAAGTACTCTCGATTGATTTCGTTTTCCTGTGGTTTTAATGCTATCCAGTTGAATTCTAAGCGTATAACATTAATTCCCCAATCTCTAAGTACTCTGAATGAATGAGGGTCAAGTAGTTTTGGAAAGTAAAATGGTGCGACTTTATGCACACAGTTGATTCCATGAAATAATTTAATAAATCCTTGTGGATCAACAAAGTAACCAGTATCATCGTCAATGGTGACTTTTGCATGAGCTTGTGAATGGAAGAATTTTGGTAGTAATATCATTATCCATGACAAACGTAAGAGTGCATCAATTAGAACGTTCATAAAGTCTCCAAGAAGTTTATGTTGCTTTGAAGATCTTGTCGATCTCACCGAAGTGAATAAAAATTCCGTTTAAAACCACAAGGACAATGTAATAGGTTAGTGATTGACAGTAAATAGTAAATTAAATGAGAAACATGTACTCAGTAATTTATTGCCAAGTGTTTTTGTCTGACATTATCTAAAATTCAATTTTTAGGATATTTTGTGTAACACTAAATTCTAATGGTCTGTATCTACGATTCAATAGTATGTGCGTATAGATTATGTACAAGTAACTTTATAATCACTGATGGGAGTGAAGATAAATATGGTATATATCAGATATTTAAGTTAAATGAGACAACTATAAATGGTTACAGTTTACTTTGATTAATTTATTACAATGGTCTAATTGGTCTTATATATATGTCACAGTGACCTTGAGAGTTTAAGGGCTGTTTCCAAATAAATTATCAAACTATCATTGGATCAAAGTTAATTAAAAATTAATAGTTAGCTAATCATTCTATTTTCAGTAGTTGCTTAATTTGTTACAGGTAATTTGAAGCTGAAATTTCAAGCAATGTCTACAAATTATCGATCAAATACAATCGTTATTAATGAGCATCCTAATGAGCTACGGATTAGTGTTAATTGGTTAACTACTGTACTGTACAAAGAATACAGAAATTCGATCAGTACTCTTTTTTCCGAAGATTTCTAAATCACCGAAATAACTTCAAAAGCTGGTATTATTTGTTTCAAAAGGTGAATCATTCTATTTTATCTAAGCTAAGAAATAAAAAGTATGTTTACTTTGAATAAACTGTTACTGTTAATTCTGTCTTACGTTCTCTGTCCTTATTCACTTCACTTGATTTCGAATCGTTTACGTATTATTTTTCAGTACTTATTAATATTTAGTAAATAGAAGTATTCCTAGCAATTTCTACGCTTATGTTGTAACGCAAGTCGGTCGTGTAATACTGTCAAATATTTACATATTCTTATAACATTTATTGTATTTATCATTTTAATTACTTATATCAATCATTGTATCAGTTGTTCGCAATTTCTCGCGGTCGTTTAACCCTTGTTTAAACGCAACAGTTTCCATATCACTTGCTTTTAGCTCCGTTTCTGCTTGTTAATAAACCGTTATGAAGTTATGATACAGCCAACGGCTGTCACTTTTGCACTATCAAAGCCTTCTTATTTCAGACAAAAGGACATGGTAAACGCCTCAGACACCTCACAAGTTGAGGTGTGTAACTAATGTTCGTACATTATTCAATAAAGAACCGCTATCTCTGATAAATCGTTGACTCGTGAACTTCGATTTTGCGCGTATATCAATTGAGTGATTTGATGCTTCAGTACAGTTAACAGTTAATTTCATCTAGCGTGAGTTACAAGTGGCAATAGGTGGGTATTGTATGCGTAGCTATATTCTTGCTGTTTGGATGAATCAAGTGCTTATGAGAAGAAATGTAACCACGTCTTATATTTCTATAACAATAAAAAATTGATGACAGTGACACTGTTCTATCGACCCCCTTTATCGGTGGCTGATAGCGATGTGATCTATTTGGGTAAAACGTTCGGAAGAATTACGGGGTCGCCATGTCAAAAGATGTTTTTCCTGATGCTTAAAGTTTGTATTTGCAAGAAAGAGGCGGTCATCTGAGCATAGGTGCACTAGACGGTCGCCATTATCTGTTGTTTGAGCCACAACACTATAAGATCCACCCAGGTGTCTTTCCCTTTCTCTTAGTTTACCTACTTGAGCATTAAAGTCACCAGCCACTATTACTACATCAGAGCGCCTAGCTTTTTGGAGAAGGTTGGAAAGCTTTCTGTAAAACTCATCTTTTACGTCATCTGAGCTGCAGTCAGTTGGAGAATAGGCAGAGACGATGAAGAGGCGACGATGAGTGTCCCTATTTTTCCGAGTTCTTACTGTTCTGTTTAGTTGGACAGTGCACAAACGACTGTCTACTGGGATCCAGTCTAAGAGAGCTAGTTCTGCCCTAGGACTCGATGCTATACATACGCCATCGAAACCACGGGGAGCAGCATCAGGGCTTCCAGATACACGAAGTGTGAATCGACTTGGTTCTTTATTTTAACATTGTGAGGTCAAATGAATGACGCTACTCGGATCCTGTATGAGCGTTTCGGAGACGCAGCACACATCAATGGCGCGAGATTCTAAAGTCCTAGCTAAGGAAGCCTATTGTCCTATTTGGCACAGTGTTCGGACGTTAAAAGCTCCTATGTGTTGTTTAGAGCGTGGCTTCAGGAGACCAGGAATAACATTTCGCGTACTCAAATCGTTTGCCCTAGCGGTGCGAGGTGATAAAGGGACGTGAGGAGGATTAGTCGTGGAGATATGAGAGGTGTCAGGAGGTGTAGGAAAGATTTGAATGTGACCAAATTGGTCTCGTGTGTTGCTACGGATATGAGGGCTGATGTCACTTCCCGGCTGCCCACACCGTAGAAGAGCATTTCTTGAGGAACCTGAAAAAGAAATCGGATTAGTGTTGGTCTTAACGACCTGGGAGCGTGACCGCAGAGCCCAAGGGACAACTGCTTGAGGCCGGTCGCGCACGACCTTTTCGTGTTAGGTTTTTAATGTGTTAGCTCCGTTCTTCAACGGGCCTTGCCGCTGGAGACGGAAATCCGTGAGGTAAGGTGAGGTGTGACATTTTCAAGGTCAACCTTTTCTAACCCTTTCCTTCCTTGTGAGGAGGCAGAATCGCTGCACATGCTGGTTGTCCGAGGGAAACACCTTACTGCTGTCACACCTCTCTACGGTCAGCGGTACGACTTCGCCCTCAGACCTTGAGTTGCTGCTTTTAGTCTTACCGTTCTCCAATCGACCTGCCTGGAATGATAGAACCTACAAGAACATATGTTCCAGCCAATATAGCTCGGTTGGGTCATCATGATAGGCAAGCCCGACCACCGCGTCAAGGTAGCAGCTACGGTCGGGTACATAGATAAGTTGTTATTGTACGAATGACTCTGCCCGTTAAATAAGTTAACAAAGGACCTTAACCAAATTAAATGTGAACAAACTCAATCGCAGGTGAGTTGCAATTGTGTCAAAACCAAATCAATTATTAACTCTAAGGGTTAGCCTGAAAAACCGATATATGCTTACGCTGAATGTAGAGAAAATGATCTACCTTTTACTTCCAAAATCATCTTAATTAGTTTTGAATGACTTTACTTTTAATAAAACCTTAATCACATTCCATCAATTTTTATGGGTGTGATTGTTGCTGAATTTTTGTCTAATTACTAAAATCCAGGTTAAAAATATGTTGTAAATAATTGTTATAAATAAGCGTTAACCCTTCTGAATAACATTTCACTCCATAGTTTAGCTAAAACCTGAACATTTGACTTAGTAGAAGAATTCATAGAAAACAAATAGTGAGAACTTAGTTACTTCTAATATTAACTATCTCAGCAATATGTCAACAAAGAGAGTGGATTGGAAACCATCTGACTGATTGAATACTTAGAGCTACTTTCATTCCTTAAAATACATTAGGAAATGTGATTACTGATTCCTGCAGAAAAATTCCCCTTAGTAAAAATAATATCTAATGATATTTATTAAATTGACCTTGATGTAAAAGAAATATGTAAACTATTTGAATGACATACCGATCTTGTAATGTAAACTTATTGCAAAGGTGATACGACATGAAGTTACCACAATACTCTTGAAACATATTTCTGTATTAGTTTATCACAAAAACATGTGCACTTTTAAAAGTAAAAATATGCACACTGATGTGCGTATTGACGTTATTTATTTTCACTGAGATTTAAGATGATAATTTTAGTGGAAAGTCTGATAAAGAGCAGACAAGTCAAAACCTGGTTCATTTAGAAATTAATAAACATCAAACGACTTCAGAATCAATTGATCCGAATGAATTCTTTGCAAGTGAAAACAAGATTTTCAATCAAGTCAAAAGGCATGAAATAATGAATAGAGCAATATAATAAAAAATGTCCAAAAACAATACTACTAAAATATTGCATACTTGAAACTTACTAGGCAAAAGAAGGAATGGATTTAAATAAAAATTTCCAGGTGGTGGTTCATTTATCAAATTATAACCTAAAACATTATCTTTCTTCCCGAAACGACTAGTTGTTATCATCCAATATTCTGCAAAATAATTCCATATTCCTGAAACATTTTTATATATACTTTCAAATACATGTGCACTCTCATATGTGGCGTACGTTAGAAACCATTGGCTTTTACTCGGATCTTTCGTTAGTGGCCAAGGGTATTGAAATAAATATGGTGGTCGCTTTATTTTATCCATAAACCAATTAGGCACAGCATCAATTGCACCTAGACGTTTCGATAATCCATCTTGATGCAAATCAATGATGATATAAACTCCATATAATCCAGCATTGTCGATAATCCTTTCAATGATATCTAAGTACTCTCGATTGATTTCGTTTTCCTGTGGTTTTAATGCTATCCAGTTGAATTCTAAGCGTATAACATTAATTCCCCAATCTCTAAGTACTCTGAATGAATGAGGGTCAAGTAGTTTTGGAAAGTAAAATGGTGCGACTTTATGCACACAGTTGATTCCATGAAATAATTTAATAAATCCTTGTGGATCAACAAAGTAACCAGTATCATCGTCAATGGTGACTTTTGCATGAGCTTGTGAATGGAAGAATTTTGGTAGTAATATCATTATCCATGACAAACGTAAGAGTGCATCAATTAGAACGTTCATAAAGTCTCCAAGAAGTTTATGTTGCTTTGAAGATCTTGTCGATCTCACCGAAGTGAATAAAAATTCCGTTTAAAACCACAAGGACAATGTAATAGGTTAGTGATTGACAGTAAATAGTAAATTAAATGAGAAACATGTACTCAGTAATTTGATGTTAAGTTTGTTCATCAGACGTCTAGTCGTTGATTGCTACTTATCAAAATGCAGTTTTTTGAATAACAATAAATGTAGATTTTGTTTTATAGAAAATACATGACCATTTTGTGATTACATCTACTGAAGACCATATTACTTATTGAGAATTTAATGAATTGGAAAATTTGAAGGATGTTGAATGTATGAAATAATAGGGCATTGGAAAAGAAAACGAGTTTTGATGAGAAACATCTTGTTTTGGTGGTATTTGAAATCTTTTCAATATGTTCAAATGCACTACGTTTTTCATTTGAAATGTAAATTCAGTGTTTGTGTTGCGAAGTCCATCATAATAGGCATCTAACAAATTTTTCAATTCATTTCGTTTCTTTGTTTCTACTAGAATTATCACTGAGATCATTTGATGACAAATATTAGAAAACGTGACATTCTTATTTCTATCTAATTCTAATGAAATCTACTTCAATACAAAAGTATAGTCAACGCTTGTATTTTGACTAAAAATAATATGAAAATCGTTCAAAGTTATTATAACTTAGACCTGCAGGTGAGGTATTTCAAAAATGAACACAACGCAAAAACTCTCTTGACCTTATTAATGTGAAAATGTAAACAAATGATGTAAGCGTGATGTTTATGAGATCTGTGTAGCATTCATAATCACTTAAACAATAAACACATGATTATGTATAAACCTTTTTGATTTAAATCACAAACATGTTTGATGTTTATATTCTGAAAAATGAACACTTACATTTAAGTATCGTAACACATTAGTAATGAATTCAGTCTAAATGTGATCAATCTAAAGGAATGTTTTGTTTGCATTTTAACAAAACATTTAAATTAATGTATTTTATTGTTGACACGGAAAAAAGATTATTTGTATAGGTTTTCTTCTGCATAA